CGAAAAGATGAAGACAACATAATTGTATATATATATATATATATATATATATATATATATATATATATATATATATATATATAACTACACTCGTCTCGGAAAACCTTCGGTTTCTTGATTTGCTAATGGTCAAATCAATCTCGAAGGAAAAAAAGGTTTTAAAAAAAGAAAGAGCTATGAACATGAACGTCTGTCGAAAATAATCGTACAGCATACAGGTCCAAAGTCCAAAGAAAAAAAATCCGATACGAGTAATCAACTAACTTAAAAGTGCTCAATACAAAAGTAGACGAGACCTAGTCAAACCTAGAGAGCCAGCCCAAACTTCCAAGTTTTCACCTAACCTTGGTAGGTTTGTCTGGCTCTCTACGTTTGACTATATATATATATATATATATGTGTGTGTGTGTGTGTCCAAATTTTCACTGTGGCATACCCACTGCCAGGACACTTCGAATCAGGCTAAGGCCGGTAAATATTTTTTTGGGTCCTTCTTTTTGTGGTTCATGGTCTACTTAAGTAGTTCGCCCCCTCGGGCCATATACCACGCCCTGTATTTAATAATTCTTTTCACCCTTGCATTGGTTTTTGAAACATAGGAGATGTTGTGAAATACAATACTACTTTCATGTTGAAAATAGTGGGTAATCATTTTTTCTGCTACTGGCTCCGAATGTCATGTAGTTATCGACGAGTATTCACTCATTCCAATTTTTTTCTATCGACACTTGTGGCATACCAATACTTTTTGATATATAGAAATAAACACTCATGCTTTTCCGAAATCATTAATAATCAGGAATAAAGACGTATCTTTCAACGAGATTTGAACTGGTTTCATATATCTCCATAGTTCGTCTTTCAGGTATCTCGCTTCAATCACTTCAACCACGAATGTCATTTTCTTCTCTATTCTCCGCTTCTCTACGCCATGTTTATTTTGCTAGCTAAATTTGGATATTTAAACTTCAGAAATATGGCAAACGCTAATTAATTTAAGACTGAAAAAGACATTTAACTAAAAGCAAAATGAATTAAAGTGAGTAAACTGGGAAGTGAATGACATATATATATATATATAATATAAATTATATTTTGCAGTAAAAATGAATTTAAAATCAGAAAGAAAGAATGCTACCCGTAGATTATTTTTTTCCTATTTTTCAAATTAATCATTTCATATAATGACACCCGCTGAATTAGAGTTAATAAAACAGTTTAATATGCGAATTGATAATGCATAAAACATAATTAATATTATTAATTACTTTATTTTCACGATTAACAATAATAACTTTGACTTAAGTATCGAATCACAGTAAACAATTAAATTTCCTAGTAAATTATGCGTTGAGAGCTAATCAAATTGAATCATCCCACGACTTTTGACAACTCCCGCTTATTATTATTATTATTATTATTATTATTATTATTATTATTTACAAATTGAACTAGAAATTGTTTCATTCTTAATTATTCTCAGTCGTATTCCGATAGCAAAATATAACACTATGATTTACCATTATTGCTGTGTGACGATAAAAACATCCATAAACAGAAATAGGATCATTTTAATATTGATTATTATTCTTGTAAAATTTTTGTTGACATTAGTAAGTAGAGGAATTAATGACAACCTTCAAGAGGATGAAAACAATTGTTCATTGTTGTTACTGCGGATGATGATGATGATGATGATGATGATGATGAATACGAAAATGAAAAGAAAAAGATAAGATCAAAAAAGACTGTCAGCAATAAGAAAATATTTTATTTTATTCATTACAAAATTCACAACAGTTTACATAAATTTAAAAAACCAAAGAAAATAAGTCATGTGCAAATGTCATATCAAAAGAAAATAAATTTCTAAATAATTTATTTTCTTTTGATATGCCATTTTCACATAACTTTTTTACATTCATACATTCATACATATATATATATATACATATATATATATATATATATATATATATATATATATATATATATATGTCCATGTTTTGTTACATGTTTTGTTGTAATATCCTAAAATAACGAGTACATATATATATATATATATATATATAATTTTAGACTTTTAAAATTTACCATATATATATATATATATATATATATATATATATATATATATATATATATATATATATATATGTATTTTGAATGATTTTTTTTATATCATTTAGTTTGCTACTGAAAATGAAAATGACTTTCAAAATGATGGCTTACTATTATTCAGCGAAAATATATATTCTTCGCAAAAGATCATGCATTAAATATTCTTTCGAGACCAAATAAATGAATGAAACGGAAAATTTTGATTAAATCGCAATAAAAAATGTACATCTTGTCGCAAAATCCTCACACTTATTTCTTTCACAATTTATGTATAATTAACTATAAATTAATTCCATATATCTAGAGCAAAATTAATTTTTAGAAACTTTCCTATTTTTCCTGAAATAAACCTATAAAATCACATTTGGTTAAATAGGAT